TTTTTAAATTGGAAATCAGGTGTGAATGGCAAAGGAATTCATCAAATGAAGGAGACACTGCTTTCTCAGCATTCAACTTGATAATGATGTACAGGTCTTTATTATGATAATAGATTTTTAATGTCAAATTCACTTTGCAAAATATTGAAACAAATTTTATGAGGTCTGACTTGCATTCCCATCATGTGGGATTCCATGTACTCTAAAACCCATGAGAAAAATGCAAGATTCAATTGGAGGAAAACAACAAGCAGAAGATAGGGCAGTCAGTGGGAATGGTTAGAACAACCCTAGGCACAGGTATAAATTTGAATATTTTCAAATATTCATTTTGTATAAAAACTACATGTAAGAAGCTTTTTTCAAATAAATTGACATACCGGTAATTTTAAATTAAATAATTTTTTTTATATAATAGACTTAATTGGTCTATATTCAAAGATCACCATGTTAGCAGGACATTCCAGACATATATCTTATTAATATATTTGCATTATAGGAATTTTTGCTTGCTTCAGAAAGCAACTTACTTTGGCAAATCATAACTACAAAGTTTATCAAAAGGAGGAGAATATTGTAGAAGATGTAAGTTTGTATGTAATGAAAAATATACACAAGGCTATATAAAAAAATATATATATTTTTGGTAACATTGTACACAGTGGCGGTTCCAGGAATCTTGAAAAGGGGGGGGGGACCAGTGTGGTCTCGGGGTACTGGCTCAAGGCCACACCAAAAAAATTGATTTATTAAATCTGATGTATATTTTGGACACAAAGAGGTGGGGGGGGGCTGAGCCCCCCTCTAAATCCGCCATTGGTACAGTTTTTAAAATCTAATTTGGCCAAAAAAGTAGTAGGTGGTGGGTAAAAATTAGAGATGGTTGACTTAACGGAAACACATAAAAAAATTTTTAGCCTAAAAGGAAGTCATATAATTCCGATTCACTGTAAAAGAACAAAACATATTTAACTGCAGCTATAAATACAAACTAATAAGATATAAATATAATATACCAATGTAAATGTATGCATTCATGATTGACAATAAGAATGAATTTCTTTAATTTGAAAAAAAAATATTTTAAACATATTTTAGATGTACTGGTGCTTTGAAAAGAAAAAAGAAGATGAAAAGATACATAGAGAAATAATTTTCAGTAAAAACCAGGGGAATTTTTTTTTAATATTACAATTGTCTGGATATTGAATTTTCATTTTTTTTAATGCCACTGCCACCATGAATTTATCAATCTTTTATAAAAGTAAGATTCTGGGGGTGTAATAATTATGAAAAGAAATACAAATTGGTTGTTGATTATTTATACTTCTATGTATATATTGTTCACATTTTAGGACTGTGACACAGGAGCATCACTTATGAAAGGTTGCACTCAGATAGTACAACGATGAAGGATATATGAGCAACTGTAAGTACACTATAATTTAATTAATTCAATTTTCTTTTTTCACTTGATGTATGTTTTATCAAACTTTTAAGATAATCTTAATTCACAAGCAAATTTATGGTGGGTATAATTTACAAATATTCAATATTCAATATATTGTTCAGGAAAGTTTCGCTTGTGAGTACAAGTTCATACATTGAATATGTATAAAATTTATTTAAAATGCAATTTTATATATATATATATATATATATATATATATATATATATATATATATATATATATATATATATATATATATATATATATATATATATATATGAAATAGTGTTGATGACTTGTATGATTATCCCTAATGCATATGATTTATACAAGAAAATTGCATAGGCCTACATGTATAAATTAACTACAAATAGAAATATCCAGTATACAGTAATGATCGATATAGTTGCAAATGCTTGGGAAGTAACTGATTAAAGAGAACCTTTATTCTTGTGTTTTTATCATCTTTATTCAACACAAAGGCTATATACCAGAAACAGGAGGCAGTTACAAAATTAACTAATGGAGACAGAAACCTTGCAATTGACTGTGAGAATTGAACATTGGACAGTATCTTCCCTGAACAATATTCTTTTGGAGAAGATTCTGTTAGAGCATGGGGACAGCTTTTGGAGTAGGTGAAGGCAAATTGTTTCAGTTACTTTTATCTTGCAATTGGCTACACTGAAAATACTGTATGTGTACATAAATTGGCGTATTCAAAATTTAGCGCAATCACTGGGTATGGAGTAATCATGAATTAGCGCTACATACGTCTGCGGCATGTATTGTATTTATTAATGATTTATTTAAGGTATTCATTAATTGGTGCATTGTTGTCTGCGTAAAAGGCGATAAAATATGAAGAACAGGTGCTTGGGAATGGGACCCCCTCCCCCGCGTTCCATACTCCAAGGGTTTTTTTTTTTTTTATAATAAAATACATTTCTATGACACATTCACAAAGTATTACAATTCAAAAATCCAAAATATAATCTAAAACTAACCTTTTATTAAAATTCATACTCTCTGATACTAAAAGTTCTCTTTTAGTATCCGAGAGTATGAATTTTTATAGGGGAGGGAATGGATTGGGGGGGGGGGGGTCCCGTCCCCAAGCACCTGTGATATGAAGCCTGCTTTTTAAGTACACATGCAGGAGTTTTGAGGCAATTTATTTCAAGATGTAAATACTAACTACTTTGATAAAAATAGATATCCTTATATACTTGTATTTGTTATCACATGAAAAATATAGTAGATATTAAACAATTGATTTTTGATTAAAGTATACATGTATGTTTTTTTTTCTAGGGGAAAAGATGAAGATGATTATTTCAAGTATCACTTTTCAAACCCATTTAAAATTCTTCTTGACTGGTCAGACACAACATCACATAATGGTCAACCTCTGATGTAAAGAGAAATCATGGAAACATCAAGCCTAGCTGTTTCTATTGTCTACAAAATTGCTATATAGCAGCTATTTTCTACATTTTGTTTATCTCTAAATACACATTTTGGATAATGTTTAGATGTAGATTCTTGCTCGATTAATAATTTGAAAAAAAAACAAACTGTTTTTAAAAGTAACGATAAAATTATACATATTCACATGAATATGTGTATGTTTTCTGATTGTAAGACTATACATTAATGGTATTATTTTTAATGGGGTGTTAATTTATGGTCAGTCTAAATAATTCTAAATTTCTTTAACCAAATAAAATTGACATCTAAAGATTTGCATCTGGGAACAAGCAAAATTTAAAAGGAGGAAATTAACATTAGCTTATCAAATTTCAAACCAGCTAAATTAATACACTGTATCTACCTACCTATGCATGAAAAACTAATAATTTATTATTTATTTATTATTTTTGGTTGCAAAGTATCATTAGAGTTTTAATCCATTATCTTTTTCCATTTTTTTACCTAGTATTTGAAAATGTTGTTTACTGAAATAAGTTCCAGTGAAAAGTTGAATAGCTAATTTTCTTTAGATTTTGAGTTATCTGCCCTTTGTAAAGGATCATAGAGAAACAATAATAATTCATTTAATTTTGTTTTATCCTATTTATTATTTTAATAATATTTACTAATCATTCCGTTTGTCTTATTTATTAGTGAGAAAAATGTTTGGAAAAGAAATTTTATAAAACAACCAGTGTCTAGTAACATTTTGAACAAAATATTATTTGGCAAAATGCCAATTTTCGAAGTTAAAAATACCGAAAACGAAAAAAATCCCCACTCCACTTTTCATAAAAGTTAACTAATATTATTATGGTGTTTCTAAAATTTAAGGTGATTTTTTCTTGAATTGCCTGCATTTCTTGAAAGACTTCTTGAAATTTAGGGTAAAAACGACCATTTTCAAAATGTAAGAATTTGGACATCTTTGAGCCATCAATTGAAGAATTTGCAGGTGACTTGTAAAATTTTTTTTATTGTGTTATATAGTGCTTCATTTGTTCTATTCATATAATGTATGAATCATCTCAAAATAATAAAGATGATTAAACCACAAGAAATCAAGTATATAGCATTTTTATGCTTGAATTGAGAGTAAATGGGGCAAAAATCTATATTAGCCCGTTACCATGGCAACCAAGGTAGTAACTTTAATTTTGAATGTTGATTATGTCACAGTGTATGGGCATTAATCAACTGAAAAAGTTTCATGAAAATCGCTCATGGTGTGTGCCACAGCCCTACAGTAAAATTTTGGTCCTTACAGAGAATTGATGTTAATATGCTCTGAAAAAGATTTCTAGATTTATGCAAGGTTCTTCAATGAATTGTAAAATGTTAATTAGAAAGTTCATTCTCTCTGTTCTTGTCCTTTGGATGCTGATTAATAGCTGTAATTGCGTAAGTATAATTTATAGGAGTGTATGTGCTATACCCCTTTCGGAAAGACCAATTTATCGGTTTAAACAATAACTAGTGAATAGGAAGTGTATGTACATTTCATAAAACTCATCCCCTAACTGAATGGAAACAAAAACAAAGTACAAAGTAATTCAAATTTACAAAGTTTATATACATTTTAGCAAAACTGGGTAATTATTTAATAAATTTAGTTGGAAACGGTTTTGAATCTCTTTTTACCCAATGGAGTACATTTTTTTTTTCCAAATGGAAATACATGTGCATTGCCTGTAGATACCTTTTTCATGAAACATCTTTCTATTGTAGAAAATAACATTTGCCAACACCATGTTTTCTGAAGAAATTTATTTGCTTTTTATAAGGAAGAAATTTCTTTTTACGAAGTCGTGTTATAATTGTATAATATATTTATCATTATATATTTATAAATATACAAGAGAAGGAAATTTTCGGAAGCACTCTGAATCGCATTAGTACTCCAAAAATAGTTTTCGTCGTAAAAAAAAATTATAAAGAGTGTGTTTCTATTCCTACTTTCTAATCAATTCTGACAAAAAGGTCTTGAAATAAAGAATACACCATTTCTGACAAGGTATAATATTTAACTGTAGTATAAACAAAACTATAATTAGCTTAATTTTTTTTCAATGACAGACTTCCAAAACAATGCGGATTCTTGAAACGCCAAACATAAAGCCACTTTACTTAAATGTATCTGAATCAAGGACGGAAAGCAGAGTAACTGTGTATGGAAGATTCCGGAGCCCTCAGGACACAACAGCAGAAATTGACGACGGAACAATTGTTAAATTTGACAAAGGTAAATTATGTGTATAATGTTAAGTTTATCATTTCACTGAATACACGTGTACATTAGATAACAATTTTATTTACAAACATTTGTATTAAAGCAATGCGTATGATACATGTATAAGCATATTTATAACTCTTTAACATGGGCCAGTTTTAGAATATGGGCTTCATGATGATATCAATATTGTTAAGTGACTGATATTATTATATCATTCAAGAATTGGTTCAAAATAAAGTTAAGACTTTATCACATTATCTGACCTTAATTATTTCTTTATGAAAGTATAAAAACATCCAATTACAATTGGAAATTTCATAAATTACAACAGTTTAACGGATACGGTAAATTGTTTAGCTAGTTTTGATTATGTAAAGTGTTGAAAATTTTAGAATTTTATTCATTTCCCGTTTTATACACGTTATATATTTTTTAAGGTATAGTAGCATCCAAGAAGGCATTTCAACGTTGATTCAATGTTGAATCAACGTTGCACTTCAACGTTGAATCAACGTTGAATATAGGTTGCATATAAAAGTTGAGAAAGCATTGAGACAACAACGCTGTTCAACGTCAATTTTCAACGTTGAATAGACGTTAAAAATGGGTTGAATTTTGATTGATTTATAATTGAATTTTTGTTGCAAAAGAAAATTGAGGCAACGTTGAAACAACGTTGAAGATTCAACATATTTTCAACGTTGAATTTTTGTTGTTATTTCAAAGTTGAAACAATGTTGAAGCTGCAACATATTTTCAATGTTGAATGTTCGTCAATATTTCAACGTTGAATATTTAACATATTTTCAACGTTGAATGTTTGGTGTGTTTTTTTTAAATGTTGAAGCAAAGTTGAAGCTGCAATATATTTTCAACGTTGAATGTCCGTCGATATTTCAACGTTGAAACAACGTTAAAGATTTAACATATTTTAAACGTTTAATATTTGCTGTTTTTAACATATTTTAAACGTTTAATATTTGCTGTTTTTTTTTAAAGGTTAAAACAATGTTAAAAATGCAACACATTTCAACGTTGAATGTTCGTTGATATTCAAAGTTGAAATATCAATATTCAACGTTGAAAATATGTTGAATCTTCAACGTTGAATATGACGGACTTTCAACGCTGAAAATATGTTGCAGCCTCAACGTTTTTTCAACATTGAAATAATACGAACCATACAACGTTGAGAATATGTTAAGTTTTCAACCTTGAAAACCTTACTTTTTTATTATGGCCTATGAACCCTTGAACTTGATTTTTATGCAGAGTTCAGCCAAAAGCACCCTGAAAACGAGGTATAAAATTCTTTGACTTTCATGCAAAATGGAACAGTTTTCAATGAAAACATATACATAAATATACATTATTTTTTATTTTATTTCATTGGCGCCATGTTTTGTATAATAAAACGATGTGTCCTATGTGTGTTTTTTTTTTTTTAAAAACTGTAAATCTAACAGCTTTGATTATTTTTTTCCCCTCAAAAATAGTACTATTTTAAAAAACAACTTGATGCAATGATTCTATATGAATTAAAATCAGAATGAATTTTGACATTTCATATTCTATTTCAACTTTTTTTTCCCATTATGGTGTTAAATTCTATAAAGCTTAAACTGTAGCATAGGCTTTCTTGCTTTCAACATATTCAAAAACAATTTCCGCCAGGACAAGGTGATCAGTACATATTAATTCATAGCGCAGGAAACTTTGCAAATTGCAGGATGTAAATTTTGTTTGAACAATTGTATTCTTTTATCATAATGTTTGTTTAATCTAAGTTATTATTTCATTTTCAGTATTAAACTCCGAGGGAAGTTCAATGGATTTTGAATTGGTTTTGTATTATGATATATGGAGATATTTGCCAAGACTAACTCTAAGCTCAAATTCCGCATCAGAATTTTTGCACATTTATTTGAGTGAGATTGTAGATGACTATGTGCAGACCGACTTTACTGGAACAGACTGCTCAGTTGGAATAAACAGGTCATCCGAAAGTCAATCTACAACGTACAATTCCGTGATTCAAAATTGTAATTACGCCATCGACGATATATTTACCATTGGGTTGAATAAATCTGGTGAGATTATTCGACTTGACTCAGATATGTATTGCTATTCTTCAAATGCAGAAAATATGAAGTATTTTAAATCAAGATGCTCTTTGTATGTATCCGATGATCCTTTATATGTTACGTTCTATGAAGACAAAATGGCTGCTGACAATGTGGAACTACTCTATCTCAATTACATGTTCAATCCTGTAGGACCATGTTCTCAGAAATGTATTGCAAACATCAAACGATGGTTTTTCTCAATCATTTAGCTTCATCAGCTATCAATAAAGTGGAAAAAAATAAACATCACACGACAACTTTTTGTTTGTCTTTTCCTCTGTTTTGTTTTTGATTCATAATAAATACATTTTTTTCCAAATCAAGTTTAAGGAAAATAATGTACTGTTACTATTGAGTTGTGTTTCATTTTGTTATAGTACTGCTGCAAATTATTGATTGTTGAAAAAATAACACATTTAATTTTTCAAGTAAATTGTTTGCTAATCTATTATTGTTAATATAACGGGTTTTAGTTGTTATATTTAGTGTTAATTGCTAAAATAATCATACGTTCCAAAGGCTTTAATAGCTCAAAGTGTTATCCTTTTATGATCTCTCTCTCTCTCTCTCTCTCTCTCTCTCTCTCTCTCTCAGGAATCAAGAGTATATCTTATAAAAAAAACTTACCTCTACTATGCAAATTGATTTAAAGTTTAAAAGGCAACAAAAAAGTGATATACATGTATAAAAGGGCAGCTAACATATCTTTGTAGACCTATTATTTCCACATATAATTACTATATTTAAAAAAAGATATATCAAGTGTCAATATTTCAAACAATGCAAAATTTCAATTTTTTTATTTACGACCTAATCGTAATATAAATCATGATTTTAAAATATTTTAAAGATAAAATAAATCTTTCTTGATAAAAAAAACCTTTCCTCATAGCCTTTATTTTCATGTTACTGAAGCTCCCTAAAAAAAAATTACCAACTACCTCAGAACGCAGTATTCTCCAGAAAAAAGGAGGTTTGGGGAGGTATAAATTTCCTTCATCATGGACGACATCATTGAAGAACAAACGTTCTGAAATCTACAACGCAAAAGAGATCAATGAAAAATGATAACATGTAAAATTTGCATAAAGAGTTGTAAACTAAAGAGTAAATGATCAGATGATCAGCCAATCAAAATTAATTTCTATTTCATTTTAAATGATATTTTAAATCTAGAGATGATTCCTCACTGTTAAATAGCGAAAAGAATTCGAGAAAAAAAGACTTATATATATATATATATATATATATATATATATATATATATATATATATATATATATATATATATATATATATATATATATATATATATACAGTAGTCATATTGTATTTGTTTACTTTTAAATGCTACGATTAGAGAGAAATACGTTCCTGAGATGTTCAAAGTAGGAAAAATTATAAATTTTTTAAAGGTTAAAACAGAGATAAATATATTCCTACTAATTACAGGGGTATCACATTGACATCTGTAGTCAGTAAATTATTTGAAAAAATACTTTCGTCAAAAATTGAAGATAGCATAATTAGTAGTGGAAAATCATTTCCACATAATCTACAGTTTGGGTTTAGAAATGGTTATGATGCCATCCCAGCATGTTATGTCCTAAAAGAACATATTAGCTACTATGTACACTGTAGATAGAGGTTCTCCAGTTTTCTGTGCATTTTTAGATAATGAAAAAGCCTTTAACAGAATCTGGCATTATTGTCTTTTATTTAATTGTATGATCTTGGAATTGAATCCAGATTTTGGCAAATTTTAAAGTACTGGTATAATGACAGCCAGTGTTTTGTATCATTTTGTGGTGTAAACTCCGATGTAATCAAAACTTATCAAGAGGTAGGGCAAGGAAGAGTACTTAGTGCTTTTATGTATCTTGTATATATTAATGATTTATTATATGAAATATTTTTTTATAACAATGGCAATAGTCTTTTACTGGGTGATTTACACATTCCATTTATTCTATTAGCAGATGATACTGCTCTAATGAGCAATTCACCAAGATTCTTACAATGTTTACTCAACCATGTAAAAAACTATGCATTTACTTGGAGACTCCATTATAATCCTAGTAAAAGTGTCTTTATTGTATTAAGGAAAACACAAAAACGTTCCTTATCTTGCAGCGTTACGCTTTTTGGTAGTGAAAAACCTCAGTCTGAAAATACAATGTATGCTGGTTGCCCTCTCCAGGACAACATGAAAAGTGACAAACTTACAGAACGAGTGTGCAAACTGCTAGATCAAAAATCCACTCTTTTATATTCTGTTGGTGTTAATAACTCTGACATTCATCCCGTTTTATCTGCAAAAATATGGACACGGTCGTACTATTGTCTGCCCTCTACTCCTGCAAGATTTGGCCGTCATTGTCACTAACAGACATGCAACAACTTGAATATGTACAAAGACACTTCTCCTGAATAATTCAAGGATTTTCAATGTTTTCTCCCTGACTTTCAAGAATCTCAAATATTGGTCTGTGGACTATACAGAGTTACATTGATAAATGTCGCCTACTTTTCTTAGGTAGACTCCATAGGTCAGAAGAAACCTTCGTACATTATCAGATCTATTTTTATTTCTAATGCTCATATATCTGAAATTTTTTTTGCAACCAAAAACATGTTACAAACTGCTAACAAATACCAGCTCTTAGATGTGATTGAAAACAATTATAGTATTATATACAGTAAAAAGGAATTTTCAAAAATGATTATCAAAACAATATAGTCAGCAGTCGGTAAACAATGGCGTGTTGCTCTGTCTGAAGATCCTGATATGTCTTTTTTCAGTAAAATACATACCAGGTTAAACCAAAATAAATTGTGGCAGATTGCTAGAGAGGATCCCTAAAAAAGAATATGAATCAATTTTTTGATTCAGGTTTCCTCGATGTAAATTGTTTGTAAATTTTGTCAATTTTGTAATAAGCTAACAAATAATTATCATATGCACTTGATCTTAAGTTGTTTTACATTATTTTACGACAGAGAAACTATGTTTAAGTACACTTAAGATATACTTGATGTAAACGAGTATGTTTTATGTGAAGATCAAGATCCTGATTTACAGATTTTATCGTTAATGGGTTGTGTTCAAGGCACAAGTTTTGAAAAAAAAATCTTTTTACAAAATGGAAGCGTATTATGATAATCGTTGCCTCAACAATATATAAGAACAAAAGCCTTTTCGCCATAGATTGTCGAATCTTATATTGTTCTTTTATTTTCTCTTTTGCGTTGTGTTGTTACATGAATCAATTATTTGATCATACACACTCTCCATTAATTTAGGGGAAATAAAGAACATCTTATCTTATCTCGAAGTTCTTATATCAAAAGATAATATCAGCTTGAATACGGATATATACTATAAGCCGACAGATACACAGTAATTTCGGATCGTGCCATCCCCACCATACTAAAACGGATATACCATATAATCTCTCAAGACGGATTTGTACCATTGTGAGCAATATCAATACGAGGGATATCCGTCTGGAGGAGTTAAAATTGTATTTATTAAGCCAAAAATACCCAGAGCAACTTGTAGATCATAGTATTGTGAAAGCCAAGGAGTTTAATATGAACACAATTACTTTCAAAAACACAGGGCGTGCTAAGGGTGGAGAAACAATACCCTTTGTTCACACGTACAGTCCGAGAAATAAAAATATTAATTCAATTGTTTATAAATTAAATAGCCAGCTTAGAGAGGATAAACAAACGAAAAGTATATACAAAAAAACTGTCGTTTTATTAGCAGTAAACGTCAACCAAAAAACCTCAAGAAAATACTTTGCTCCTCCCAATTCGCTGACCATACTTATACAGTGTTTTATATATATATATATATATATATATATATATATATATATATATATATATATATATATATATATATATATATATATATATATATATATATATATATATATATATATATTAAAATACAATCCAAGATAAACAAACAAGTTCACATTTAATTATTACACTAAGCGCTTTCAGAGTGTATCAAAGTTTATAAAAACAATACAACTTGGTTGTTATGACGTCGTTATTGTGACGTCATAAAGGCAGCATTATATATTGGCGCACGTAAATGTCATTAGTGCGCCAAAAGTAGAGAATTGAACATATGTACATTGTGATGAAATAGACTGCTAATTTTAAGCTATAATGTTCAATTTACATTTAGTTTAGGTTTAAATAATTTAACAAAGTAATCTTCCTTGGCTCTCCGTAATTGTTCATTATTTTCTAGAACTTTATAAAATGGAAATATTAAAAAGTTTCCATTCGCACATGAATCAAAATGTTCACTGCATGGCGTATTCCTGACAGAAGGGTCCCGTATTTGTTGCTTATGGACTCTTACGCGGTCAGCTAGTTTGTTACCGGTCTGTCCAATGTAGTTTTCCCCGCATAAAGTACAAGTCATACAGTATATTAAATTTTTAGATTTGCATGACATATTTGCATTTACGGTAAATGTTTTACCACATTTAAAAGTAAATGAAGTGACGAAAAATTCCCCGAACACACAAAGAAATCATAGGAGCAAAAGCAATGGAAATACAAAATCCGGATATAGAAAGGAAAACCGATTTTCTTACACTGATGCCGTACGCAATGATAAACCACATAGATCTGAATTTCCGGCACACAGCAACACCAATGCATATAAGAACAGACCAAATAACACTCGCAACAAGGATAACCAAATGAGGAAAAACAATCAAGGAAACATGGTGAGAAATGTAAATTATCAACGGCTGACACAACCCAACAATGCCGGAATAAGGGATCAACACTGGAATCTACCCCCTAAAAGGAACCAAAGATGGCGGACAGCACAAAACAGTTTACATGGTTTTAACAGTAAACAAGAAAATCAAACAAGGAACAATTCGGAGAATATTTTTTTGTGGAAAGGACGCTTCCACAAGGGACGACAGAAAACATTCCGATTTCTGCAAATTTAGACAACTCAGAAGTAAGTCAAAAACAGAAAATCGATGTAAAAATTATTAATATATCTCAGAGAGATATTTCAGAAAACGAAATGAAAATTCTAGAAAAGGGTTTAAGATTCACACCCACGCCAAAACAGGATAATGTGGATCTCATAAAAGATACCGAGGAGTTTTGTCGAAAACTTAGACTTACAGAATATTTTCAAAATGAAGAAAATATAGACGAATCTCTTGTAAGAAATAAAAGTAACTTCAAACCACCACCTAATAGAGATAAAAATTTAGATGAATTTATTAGATGTTTACAAAGTTCCGCAAGAAATAATGACTTCTGTATGAATACCCGTATTAAAGATAATATCAATAGACTGGAACGAGAAGCTATCAAAAGCCTCGCAAGTGATAATTCTATTGTTATAAAGGAAGCAGATAAAGGGGAGCAATTGTCATTATGGATATGGATCATTACAGAGAAATGGTTTTAGACCAACTTATGGACACCAACTTTTACAAAGAATTAGTTTCTAATGAGGACAGTAAAACCATATGCAAGATTAAGAAATTAACTTCTAAATTTGCGGATAATTTAACCGTGAAAGAGGTGGATTATTTAACAAATTTCGAAAATAAATCTAGTAACTTTTATGGTTTACCAAAGATCCACAAATCCAAAGAAATACAGGACGGACTCGAAGGTAAAAACGCTTTATATATAAAATTACCTCGACCAACAGATTTAAAGCTTAGACCAATTGTAGCTGGCCCTGCATGCCCCACGCACAGAATTAGTAACTTGTTGGATATACTTCTAAAGCCTCTATGCCAACTTGTACCAAGTTATGTAAGGGATGATATGGATTTTCTTGGCCACATCCCAGATACAGTTGAAATAAATACAGAGATGGTTAGTTTTGATGTAACGAGCCTCTATACTAACATACCACATACACTTGGACTGGAAGCAATCGCTTTTTGGATCGATAAATACCGCAGTGAAATAAATGAAAGATTTTCCAAAGACTTTATCCTAGAAGGATTAAAAATAGTATTAGAAAATAACCATTTTGTTTTTGACAGCAGAAATTTTCTACAAATAAAAGAAACAGCGATGGGCACAAAAGTTGCCCCAACCTATGCCACCCTAGTACTTGGGTTTTTAGAAGAAAAATTGATCAGTGAAACAGACAGAACATTTGGAAATCAGTTTGCCCAATATATACGCTTTAATTGGAAGCGATATTTAGATGATTGTTTCATTTTCTGGAACAGATCTAATGAAGATTTACAAGAATTTCATTCTATTCTTAACAATCTACACCCGTCTATTAAATTTACGGTGGAAAAAAGCGGATTGGAACTACCTTTTTCAGATATCCTTATAATTAAGGAGGGTCGTAAAATCATAACAGATTTATACTACAAGAAAACGGATTCCCACCAATACCTTGTATTTAATTCCTGCCATCCTTCACACGTAAAACGTAACATACCTTTTAATATGGCAAGACGTGTTTGTACCATTGTCATAGATGAAACCAGAAGAAACAGCCGTCTACAGGAATTGAAAACTTTTTTACTTAGACAAAAATATCCCAATGATCTAATAGACGTCGCTATTGAAAGGGCCAAGTCAATACCAACTACAGATCTCCGGAGTTCTAATAGAGCAGGGGCCCCCGCTTGTCGTTACACATAACCCCCGGAACCTTAATATGTATAATTCCGTAAAACAGTGTTTCCCCATTCTACAACAATCCCAAAATCTAAAGGAATTAATTGACCTGAAGAGCATAATCTATAGCCGGCGCCAACCCCCAAACCTGAAGAAACTCCTTACAAGAGCCAAATTTTCGTCAAATGAAGACATACGCACAGTGGCCAAATGTATGGACCCCCTATGTGGAACCTGTCCTTATTTAAAAACAAGAGAGACATTTACTTTTAAGGTGTGTCACTCGTCAGCCTTTTAGAAAATTTCAGTCAGAACCTCTTACTTAAAAACTATTTATTACAATTCAGTCTTTATAACATATTTAAATTAAACAATGTAAAATGTTCAACATTCAATTAAAAAACTGCTCAAAAATTCATAAAGAAGCAAGATTTATAAGGGACTATTTCTTGTGGTGGAAGGATATTTAGCAGAAAATTCTGCAAATCTACACATTTATTAAATTTAATATCTTGGAACTTTAGCCTCGCATACTTTAACTCAGAGAATATTTTCCGTTATGATATGCCTGGAATATTAAATATAGGTCTCAATTTATATATTTATAACAAAATTTACACCTTCGCTCAACAAACTTTGCCAAGAAATGAAGATATATTAAGGAAATCGAGATAAAATTTACACAGTTTTTTGCCAGAAAATCGCATATTTTGACCAATATTTCAAAATTTACATCACTGACCCCAGCTTTTTCTTTCATTATTTTAAACTACTCGATACTTTTGACCAATCAGCACTTAAGTCGTAAAAAGTTTGATACAAGAATATATTCTATTGCCTATGTAGATTTTTAATACACCAAATATGAGACTTTTTTAGTGCAAAAAAGGTCACACAATAATTTACGCGTTTTAATTTGCATGATTTGTTCAATGATAAATATTATTCAAACTATTTTACGTAAAATAAGATTATGTTTATTGTCATGGTTACATCTGATAAAATATGATAACGGTTAAAGTGATTAATCAAAGAGTTACAATTTAAGTGCAAAAAGGTCAACTTAATTGTACCGTAGCTCGGTAAGATGCACACTGACCCCCCATTTTCTCTGCGATTTTGAGTCATACTATATGAGTACTTATCCAAAATATACTTCTCAAAAAATCCTTGATATAACAAATTTCACGAGTGACATACCTTAAATGTGGTAAAACATTTACCGTATATGCGAATATGTCATGCAAATCTAAAAATTAAATATACTGTATGACTTGTACTTTATGCGGGGAAAACTACATTGGACAGACCGGTAACAAACTAGCTGACCGCGTAAGAGTCCATAAACAACAAATACGGGACCCTTCTGTCAGGAATACGCCATGCAGTGAACATTTTGATTCATGTGCGAATGGAAACTTTTTAATATTTCCATTTTATAAAGTTCTAGAAAATAATGAACAATTACGGAGAGCCAAGGAAGATTACTTTGTTAAATTATTTAAACCTAAACTAAATGTAAATTGAACATTATAGCTTAAAATTAGCAGTCTATTTCATCACAATGTACATATGTTCAATTCTCTACTTTTGGCGCCCTAATGACATTTACGTGCGCCACTATATAATGCTGCCTTTATGACGTCACAATAACGACGTCATAACAACCAAGTTGTATTGTTTTTATAAACTTTGTTACACTCTGAAGAACATGTTTAATTTGGAGTTTATAAACAGTTGTGAACAAAGAAATCCGGAGCGCTATGAATTGCGTCCGGTCTATCGGGTGTACTCCAAATTAAACATGTAACATTGTAAATATTTAGTGTTTGGTAGTTTAGTAGTAGTGTTAGTTGTTTTTGCTTCTCTATTTCCTTTGTTTTTATGTCTTCTTAACTTTTTTTTCTTTGACCTGAGGAAGGGACAGGTTGTCCCGAAAATTTGACAATTATTATTGTTCGTGTCGTTGGTCATTTTTAGTGCTTTATATATATATATATATATATATATATATATATATATATATATATATATATATATATATATATATATATATATATATATATATATATATATATATATATATATATTTATTTATATAAACGCACGTAAACAAGGGGAGTTGACGATAGGGAAAAAAACTGTTGTCATCATGACTATCATTAAGTTTTGCTAAAATATTTTTGAATTGTTTTTTTTTTCTTAATGATATCCAGACATGAAATTTATGTTTGTTTTATCTTGCATGAAGGGGATATATCGACGTAGAAATTTAAATGAATATCTAAATTAATAATACAAAGTGGATATATTATAACTATCAAAATTGAATGCCACTGCAAAATACTTTTTTATGCATAAGTACTTGATATTGATTAAAACTGTTGAATAACATGATCTCTAAGAAACTTCACAGGTATTGTCAAACTCAAGCACATCAATTATCGGTATGAAGAAACTGTAATTGTGATTTTACATTAAGAGCAAAACATACATAATCTCAAATAATCTCAAATATCAAAATATTGTTCAATGCTTAATGAAGTGATCCTTTTTTACCTCTGAAGTTTTAAAAAAACTGTTAGAATTGAAAATAAACAAGATTTGCATAATGGGCTTTTTAAGTTAAAAATTCTTTACCTTATATCGGTACATCTACCTGCACATGCGTAGACGCAGAAAATAGCAGTAAATAGAACATTGAATTCTGAGAAAAATATTTTTGTTCACCAAGAGATATTATAAAAGGAGATGTAATGCACAAAATGTATTAGAAAGAAACCACATCATCGCAGAGGACAAAGGTATGTTGAAACCATCGGCGCATGTAAATCTTCATTTAAATTTTTAGAAAAATTCCTTTTTCTCATGTGAGTATTAAGAAAAACAACATAGTGGTATCGAGATTTATATTTTCAGAATATGTTAAACTTTTTTTTTCAAAAATGATGTTGTGTGAATATCTTTTTAATGTTGAATTTAGGTTAAGCAAACACCTACAAGTGCCAGCATGAGTGAAAAGTGGTATGAAAAACACATCGGCGAGAAAAAGACATTTCATGAAGGTAAGGTGTATATATTCAACACATACGGAAGCGTAAAGGGCTCTACACTTGTTGTGTTATAACTTGTATATTGCCTTATATTTTATTGTCTTATCAACATATAAAGTGTAATAACTCCTGATTTATACATATATTTTGAATTGTATTTAGATGTTTTTACATAATTTAAGGCACCTTCTTTCATTTAATTGATTTTATTGCTACAAGTTTTATCGAATTAAAAAAATTGGTTTTAAGATATTGATCAAAGCATGATTTTTAATCATATCAATATAGTAATGTCGATATGTAAAAATAAATATGTAGTTATATCGATATAAATATATGAATATTTCCGAGACGAAGTGAGAAAATATTGTTATTGAATTAACTTTGCAGGGGCGGGAATTCTAATGAATCATCACTTCACTCAGGATTCAGTGAAAGCTCATATACCATTTATTTGCTATCGTGTTCGATTATAGACTGATACAGATTCAAAAATATTTTTAAACTAGAGCCGAGCTCGTTGCAAAGCAACGAATAGGTCTTCCGTTAGAGCTACGGGCAGGAAGACGTAACGTCGAGTCTCTGTCAAGCAACATTTAAAGTTATACAAGATAGCAACCTAAAGGCTTGTAAAGGAAGCAACTTACAATGTTTCGCCAGGAAAAAGACTGTAAAGGTATGTATGTGACATTGAACTTTTTTTTATATTTCTATATATCTTTAGATCTACAGGACATGAATGCCACGCCGAGTGTAGATTAGTAATGCAACATTGAAATCTGTATTAGTGTATGACGTTTGTTAAGAATATCTTGAATTGTTTTTTTTTTTTGTAACTGAAATCTTAAAAAATGGATGTAAAATATGAAATCCCCCTTAAATATAAAATAAAATTAATATCTCAGATGTTTTTTTAATACTTAGCAAAATGCATATTAAAGACAAGTGAGGTCAAGGTCACAGGAAAGTGCATGGAAAAAATGTACCGGCATACTAAAGTTTTATAAAAATGTCTTGAATGGATTCCTCAAAACTGAGCGTCGCCAACGCGTGTGGCGCAGTGGTAAGAGCTCTCAAAAGTGTGTATCAGCATATGAAGTTGAGTGAAATTATTAATGGTTTCTTCAAAACTGAGCTAAATACTAACTTAAGTATAGTGAGATCCAGGTTAAAGGAGAGGTCAAAGTAGAAAGAATATTGATGCAGTTGAACAGCTTACATCCGTATGTATCACAATGAGAAGTTTGAATACTCAGTCTTTAATATCCCTCTCCCCTTTTTCAAGCTTTCTGGATCCGCCACTGATACGAGCTATAACTCTTTGATTTTCAATTTGTAAGTTGCGCCATCTTTCGGTAACATGTTAATATAGAAAATCTTTTAACTACAATGTAACTGTTATCGATGAACATAAGGAATGTGGCCATAGATTTAATAACGTTCTATAAAATGGTGAAATGTATACATGTTGTTTGGAGGATGAAGATTGTGTTTTCATTTGTGTATTATTTATGTAATAGGGATATAAATTGTGAGGCATTAAATATAATTTTAGCTTCAATATTTCGTGCGGATTAGTGTGTCAAAATTTTTGCAGTTGTATAGTGTCAGAAACATGTATGATAAAAGAATTATTCGTATTAAACATGATATGGGGTTTGTTTCCTGTTATTTTTTTCTATTAAATTAGGTAGAAATTTAATTTTTATTGATTATATGAGGTTTTCATTAGTAATATGTTATTGTACAAGACTGTCTGATTCTGATGATATATGATATGTATATGTTCTATTGATCTATATATGAGGAATCGACGATCAAAAGTTGTGAGAAAGCACAAAACAGCGTAATCGCTGTAATCCGAGTTTCTTCTAAATAGGATGTTTTCGAGGCGGTCCGCGCTCTGGGTGGAAATAATTAGACGCCTTTATATATCCTCGTGTGTCAAGCATTGAATTAAACGCATTGTAA